AGAGAGATGAAGTTCTCTGATGATGATCGAACGAGTGTTTTCTATCTCTGTTATGTGGAAAAGCTGCATGGTATCGAGAAAGAGAAGGAGAGGTTGATCGGTTTTTATAACCCAAGCTAGGGTTTTCTCCTACAAACTTACCTTCCAAGCCACCTCATTAGCCGATTATTTGGCGGATTCGGGGCTAAGGCACGGGCACGGGCCGCGGGGCGCATGGGTTCGGGCCTCTCGGTTCGATCGCACGATTATTAAAATATATATATATATATATATATAATTCACACATTATTAGACAATTAAATGAAAATTATACATATAATAATAATAATAATAATAATAATAATAATAATAATAATAATAATAATAAATAATAATCACAAATAATTCCTACACAAAAGGGGCATTTACAACAAGAGTGAGCTCCCAAGCATTCGAAGATTAGTGAGTCATACAAGTGACGTGACGAGTGTCTTAGCATGAATGTCATTTGAATTGTTGAATCATATCATGGGCGATGATTGATAATAATAATTTAGTCTTGAAATGAAGTATACATCGTTTTACCATGACATTTCATGAATTCAGCATTCCAAAATTAGCGACATCATCATTATATCATACATTCAAGTTTATTTTTGTATTCATTTATTATTGTGGTTGATACCTATATATAAATATAGCTCAGAGAAGGGCATCCCAGAGAGTGGAAGCATCTTCACCACACATCATGTGTACATATTTCATTCTCTCCACCGATTTACAAATGCCACTGCAAGTCCAATCAAATGATGCTGCACAGACAGGTGAGATTCCTCCTCGCCAATCACATCCTGCACCAGTACAAACTCTATTGGTTCAACTCCAAAACATCTTAGCATGCAAATATTTGCATAAATAGTGTTGGTAATATCGAACGTAATAAATTTCAAAGTATATCAAGTTTACTTGTAGTTTGACAACACATGCCACCATCGTTAATGTGTTCGATTTCCAGACCGATGAACCAGGAGCCGAGAGATACATCTTCATTAGCATATTTGTGCAGAATGTGCCTAAAAATTAAAGAACACATTAGTTCAAAAGTTTTATTAATAGGTGTTAGAAATGGGGAAAAAAACGAGTGCAGGTCCCACGTAGATGAAGCGCACCAAAAGAAGGGAAAGCCCGGATGAAGCCCAGATGCGTTCCATCCCAAACCCAATTAGTGGAAAGAGTAGTAACTTATTAGACTTATAAATTAGACTTGTTTTCTCTTTATAAAACGATGTGGGACAACTCTCAAGTGAATATTCAAATAATAAGTAAGCCAGATCGAGCTCGTTCATTATTGATCTTACCGATTGATGGAGATGTATTCTGCGAGGTCCTTGGATAAAGCATATATCTGACCAGTAGCATGTCGAAAATATTTGTTCCCTATTTCTCCAAACTTCCAGTATTCTGGCTCGTGGTACTTGAAACTCCTACAAAATAAAAGTTAAAAAATTAAAAAAATAAAGACAGACAAATAAATAACCAATTTTTACAAATTATTCAATGTTAGATTTTAATTAAAAAAAAAAGAGAAATTAATTAGTTACTTTTGAAAAAGAACTGGGCCTGATTTCATGCACCCTATATAAACTCTGGGCTTTGTGCGGTGGCGTGCTAGAGTTGCGGCTAAGGTTCCTGCATTAAGATCATAATTAAATGTGATAGATTTGCAGTTGTGCATAACTACGAGAAAGAATAAGAGGTAAAATTGCAGTTTTAATTTTGTTGGTTTAATGCAAAAGCAATTTTAGTGTCAAAGTTTCAATATTTCGTATTTTGGTCCTGGTGATTTAATATTTTGATGTAATTTTAGCGCTCGAATGACTGAAATTGCAACAAATTATCAAATTATGAGATTTTCGATCAGATATTTCAAGCCTATAATTTAAAATTTTGTTGCAATTTCAGTCTATAATGTAAAATTTTGTTCCAATTTCAGTCCTCAAATGACTCAAATTGCAGTGAAAATATTAAATCACAAGACTGAAATGCGAAAAGTTGGAATCTTGAGATTACTTGTGGTGTTAAACGAATAATAGGAAAAAATCATTTTTGCAGAAATAAAAGTTGCTATAAAAAAAGAATAAAAAAATAAAAGTACCTAAATTTACATGAACATCATCGTCCACTTTGACGTAAAAATCAGCATCCCACCTTTCTAGTGCAGTTACGAAAAATGATTTTGTCTTTGCTGTTAATTCATGATATCCTTCGATATGTGGCTGGATTAATCATATTTGTATTGAGAAAATCAATCATTATTGGATGATCAGTTTGAGAAATATAATAAAATAGAGAGAGAAAGAGGTGCATGGTTAATAAATTTCCTCACAAGCCTAAGAAAATCTTGATGTTGGGCATCCTCCGAATCAATTGCTCGGTCCAAAATGCTGTTGGATGTTGCACTGATTTATGAAAAATATGTTAGCAGAGAGAGAGAGAGAGATCAAAACTCTGCTCGGACATTCTCGTATAAAAAATACAATGAATAAACGAACCAAAACATTTGTTATTGACTACCAACTATGCAAAATAAGAACATTTATAACTCGAAAAAACACGTAGACTTATTAACCTGTGACCAATCATGAAACGAACCACAATGCCCTTTTCCTCCTCAAGTTGAACCATATTTTTACCTAATCATACACGACAAATTTCAAAATATATAACAATACTTTTTGAAAAACAAAGTATAGAGACAAGTTTGGAGGTAAAATTGAGAGGATATAGTTAATTGTGACACCACCTCTAGGCATCCATGTTTCTCTTACGGAATCACGTCTCTTTCTGCTGCTAAATGCCGTGTTTATACCAATCACCATAAATACCTTTTTTCTTATTATGTCAACATGGTTAGTTGAATTCTCAGAATCTCCAATGTTGTTGTTCGATGATGGCAACTCCGAACGTAACTTAGCAACAGACGAATCCAAATATCTGTAGATATCAGAAGAAATCACCAATAACACCAAATCATATACCTTGCCTTAACTCTCATCAATACAATACTTTTTTTTTTTTTTTTTTAGCTGGGAAATCACAGGTCTATAAGTTCATACAACAAGCAGAAGTAATTAACCAAAGTCAGAACCAAAAGAAAAAAGAGAGAAAAAAAGAAAGAAAAACAACAGCCAAAGCGAAAATTCTGAAACTGGGCTAATAGGTGCCCAGGTAAATAGTCTGTGCCTCGAGGGGGCAATAAATTATAAGGAAAAACTTGCCAATTCTAAATATCAGATTGCTAGAACATGGTAGAGGAATATGTACTCACTCGATGGCTTCGTGTGCTTTATTGACTTCTTTAATAACTTCATCATCATGAATTAGTTCCTACATTAATACACACAACAATTACAAAGAAAAAAAGGGAAAAGAAAGAAAGATACACATACATATATACCTCTATATATATATATATATATATATATATTGAACGTAACAAACATTAGGTATATATTGAACGTAACAAACATTAGGTACATATAAAGCAAACCTTATTTCTCTCACAATCATCATCAGAAATGACCTTAGATTCACCCAAATGTCGTCTGCCGTAAAGATTATGGTCCTCTGATGACAGAGGATTCACCCATATTCTGCTTCAATGTAATTAAGCGTAGTAACATTCAGTTTAGTAACATTGAACTGATGATGGCTATTTGTTAGGAAGAACATATAAATGAACATAAAAAATTAATAATAATCAACATTAATTATCTAATTAACCTGTGGGTGAAGAGCACGCCAAGGCAGAAACTAATAGCACATAGAACCACCGTCCATTTGAGGGACTGTTTATCTCTGTTTCTATTCTTCGATGCCATTCTTGATTGTACTGAGAAAAAACGATGCCCCATTACTCGTCACAAATCTTTTATTAATTTTTACCTATCAAATGACTATAAATAAAGTTAGGCTTTGGACTAATATGGGATTGGTAGAATTTTAAGGTCTCTCCGACCCATTATTTATTATTTGACTTGTATTTTCTTTGTCATGATAAATTAAGCTACTTTTTCGTTATATACTATATACATTCATGTGTCACTGAATTCTCCCTTAATTTATACCAAAATGTCATGCTAAAAACTGTCTACTCAAAAATTATATATGGGGAATAAATAAAAGGTAAAATTATATTTTTGTTCCTGCTGGTTTAACGCTATAGCATTTTTATTACCAAGATTCCGACTTTACGCCTTTTGATCCTGTAGTTTAGTATTTTGCTGCAATTTCAGTTGTTTGAGACTAAAATTGCAACAAAATTTAAAATTAGAGAACTTAAATTCATTCAAAAGATTTTTTAATTAGAAATTTAAGTCCTGAAATTAAAATTTTGTTAATTGCGTTGAATTTTTAAATCACAAGACCAAATAGCAAAATCTTAAGATTTTAGAACAAAAAAGGTCAGTGGATCAAACCAATAGCACTAAAATTGCAATTTTGTGTAAATAAAATGCAAAAACCCAATCCTATCTAGCTGAAAATCAAAGATGAGCAGTAAAAGTATATTCTCCTTTCACTTTAGATGATGTTTTAGAATAAGATAACACATAAAATCTTAAAATTGAAAAAAAAAATAATATTTATAAGTTTACCATTAGTGCATTAAAAGATGAAGCATTATTGAATTAAATTGGGAGCTTTGATAAAAGAAGCAAATTAAGAAATAAAAACCGTAATATATGAAAGTGTAGAACAAAACCTACAACTACATCTACATTGAAAAGGAGGGATTGCAACTTTGCCTAGGCCTAAACCTTTGTCGCTAGACTATATAATGCGACACGTGAAAAAATGAATTAAATTAAATTTTCGTGTCTTTTTTTATACCCGAGTCTACTTGACGTGTTCAACTATAAAATATTCCGTTGGGTTGCCTACTTTTATTTTGGTATCTCAACATTTTTAAAGACATAATGCTATTACTATTAGCAAAATTACTATTAGCAAGTGGTGCTTGCAAAATTACTATTAGCAAGTAGTTGATCTAAGTCCCTTTGGGTTCAGTAGATATCATACTTCATGTATCTGCCCACTTCTGGTACTTATGATCTAGAGTTTTAGCTGCTTGCATTTTCTGAGTTTCTGGTTGTATTGTTTGCTGTAGGATTCAGCCTTTGTTGATGCCTATAGCATTTGATTTATGTTTGTTTAGATTCTAGGTCACCTTGGGGGTGAGCTCCTTTGTATCTGTATTTTAAAATTAAAACTTCGGTCTTTCGGATTGTACATCTTTTCTATGAATGAAATCTATCGTTTCGAAAAAAATAAAACAAAATGGTGCTTGTTATCTCTCAGTGACCGACATTATTCCATTTGGTTATAAGAGTATCTTTTGTCGTTTGAAAAAATAAAATAAAATAAAATTACCTTCAAAACATTCTCGTCGAACAATAGATAGAAAAAATATATGCGTAACGAATAATGAAACATTTCTAAAATTATAATTCATTGTAATATAAATTAATGATTAAAGTTTGTGTAACATAAAAATAATAAAAAGTTAATGAATTATGATATTAATTTTTGTTGGGAAAAAAATATATTGATGATAGATTATTTATTTTAAAAGTGTATTGGAAAGAATAACAAAATGAGACGAAATCAATATTTGATTAGAATAGTTACTTAAAATCTTTTGTATCTCAATGAATAAATATTGCCAACAAGATGAAACTAAGTTTTTTATTTATCTCGCAACGTTAATATCCACAAAAATTCAAATTAGGGAAAAATAATGTTTGTATATCTACATATCTTCTCTTTTTACTTTTCATGCCCATTTATTCATATAATCATTTTTACATATCTAATATTTTGTCCGTTCATTAATTTTGATACTTTTCGTTAGAGCACCCACAATGTTTTGAGTCTCTTATAAAAAAATCATATGCTATGTAGGAAATAGATTTAATCTATTAAAAAATGTTTTCCAATACAATTAAAAGTAGACTAGGTCTAACTTATGTCGCAATCAAAAAATGAGACAAAGTCTACCCTTTGGTCTATTTTGGACTCAAGTAAAAACCTAAACAATCAACATTTATTTCTAATTTATTTTTTCTCTTTATATAGAAAATAATTTAGAGCATTTTAATTGGTTGACAAATATTATAGACCAAGTATTTTGTTTTTGCACTAGATGACTTTTAGAAATTACAGAACTTAAATTCATTTAAAAGATATTTTATTAAAAATTTAAGTACTGAAATTAAAATTTCGTTAATTGCGTTGAATTTTTAAATCACAAGACCAAATAGTAAAATGTTCAGATTTTAGGACAAAAAAGGTCAGAGGATCAAACCAATAGAACTAAAATTGCAATTTTGTGTAAATTAAATGCAGAAACCCAATCCTAGCTAGCTGAAAATCAAAGATGAGCAGTAAAACTATATTTCCTTTCACTTTAGATGATGTTTTAGAATGAGATAAAACATAAAGTAAAAAAAAATGGAAAAAAAATAATATTTAGTTTACCATTAATGCATTAAGAGATGAAGCATTGTTGAATTAAATTAGGGGCTTTGATAAAAGAAGCAAATTAAGAAATAAAAACCGTAGAACAAAACCTACAACTACATCTACATTGAAAAGGAGGGATTGCAACTTTTCGTAGGCCTAAACTTTTTTCTCGCTAGACTATATAATGCGACACGTGAAAAAAAGATTTAAATTAAATCTCCGTGTCTTTTTTGATACACGAGTCTACTTGACGTGTTCAACTATAAAATATTCCGTTGGGCTGCCTACTTTTATTTTGGTATCTCAACATTTTTAAAGACATAATGCTATTACTATTAGCAAAATTACTATTAGCAAGTGGTGCTTGCAAAATTACTATTAGCAAGTAGTTGATCTAGGTCCCTTTAGGTTCAGTAGATATCATGTATCTACCCACTTCTGGTACTTATGATCTAGAGTTTTAGCTGCTTGCATTTTCTGAGTTTCTGGTTGTATTGTTTGTTGTAGGATTCAGCCTTTGTTGCTGCCTATAACATTTGATTTATGTTTATTTAGATTCTAGGTCACCTTGGGGTTGAGCTCCTTTATATCTGTATTTTTACATTAAGACTTCGGTCTTTTGGATTTCTATGAATGAAATCTATCGTTTTGAAAAAAAGAATGGTGCTTGCTATCTCTCATTGACAGACATTATTCCATTTGGTTATAAGAGTATCTTTTGTCGTTTGAAAAAATAAAAAAAAAAAAAAAATAAAATTACCTTTAAAACATTCTCGCCGAACAAGAGAGATAGAAAAAATATAAGCGTAACGAAGAATGAAACATTTCTAAAATTATATATAATTCATTGTAATATAAATTAATGATTAAAGTTTGTGTAATATAAAAATAATAAAAAGTTAATGAATGATGATATTAATTTTTGTTGGGAAAAATATATATTGATGATAGATTATTTATTTTAAAAGTGTATTGGAAAGAATATCAAAATGAGACGAAATCAATATTTGTATAGAATAGTTTCTTAAAATGTTTTGCATCTCAATGAATAAATATTGTCAACAAGATGAAACTAAGATTTTTCTTTATCTCGCAACGTTAATATCCACAAAAATCCAAATTAGGGAAAAATAATGTTTGGATACCTACATATCTCCTCTTTTTACTTTTCATGGCCATTTATTCATATAATCATTTTTACATATCTAATGTTTTGTCCGTTTATTAATTTTGATACTTTTCCTCTTTTTACTTTTCATGCCCATTTATTCATATAATCATTTTTACATATCTAATGTTTTGTCCGTTCATTAATTTTGATACTTTTCGTTAGAGCAACCACAATGCTTTGAGTCTCTTATAAAAAAATCATATTCTATGTAGGAAATAGATTTAGTCTATTAAAAAATATTTTCCAATACAATTAAAAGTAGACTAGGTCTAACTTATGTGGCAATAAAAAATGAGACAAAGTCTACCCTTTGGTCTATTCTGGACTCAAGTAAAAACCTAAACAATCAATATTTATTTCTAATTTAAGTTTTCTCTTCATATAGAAAATAATTTAGAGTATTTTTATTGGTTGACAAATATTATAAACCAAGTATTTTGTTTTTTGACTAGATGACTTTTAGAAATTACAAAACTTAAATTCATTCAAAAGATATTTTATTAAAAATTTAAGTACTGAAATTAAAATTTCATTAATTGTGTTGAATTTTTAAATCACAAGACCAAATAGTAAAATGTTCAGATTTTAGGACAAAAAAATGTCAGTGGATCAAACCAATAGAACTAAAATTGCAATTTTGTGTAAATTAAATGCAGAAACCCAATTCTAGCTAGCTGAAAATCAAAGATGAGCAGTAAAAGTATATTCTCCTTTCACTTTAGATGATGTTTTAGAATAAGATAAAACATAAAGTAAAAAAAATGAAAAAAAAAATAATATTTAGTTTACCATTAATGCATTAAGAGATGAAACATTGTTGAATTAAATTGGGGGCTTTGATAAAAGAAGCAAATTAAGAAATAAAAACCGTAGAACAAAACCTACAACTACATCTACATTGAAAAGGAGGGATTGCAACTTTTCCTAGGCCTAAACTTTTTCTCGCTAGACTATATAATGCGACACGTGAAAAAAAGATTTAAATTCAATCTCCGTGTCTTTTTTGATACACGAGCCTACTTGACGTGTTCAACTATAAAATATTCCGTTGGGCTGCCCACTTTTAATTTGGTATCTCAAAATTTTTAAAGACATAATGCTATTACTATTAGCAAAATTACTATTAGCAAGTGGTGCTTGCAAAATTATTATTAGCAAGTAGTTGATCTAGGTCCCTTTAGGTTCAGT